TACTTGTGGACAATTTTAATAAAATCTTTAAATTTGTTTAGGTACTAGGTTCTGCATTGTGTTTCGCTGTGAGTGATGCCACCGGATGCACTAATCTTCCCTATCCCCATCTCCAACAATCTACCAATCCTCAAAATCAAGGTGAATGATCCATCAGCTCGTTTAACGAACTAACCCATAAAAAAGATGGAGCTTATGACCAAATTTTAGATACTTACCTAACTACCTCTCGTCAGATAAAACCTTTAAGTATACATTATTTCTATAGTTATTGGCCATAGACATGGTGGACAGACATCCGTATTCTGGAAATACTTATTTTTTTTGTGCTAGGAATTCGTTTTGTGAGGTTACTCTTTCCGTGGTTTATTATTTTAGGAGGCGAAGTCATACAATCTGTACCTATAAGTACTTCAAGCTCCTGCCAGATTTCTGTTAATGTAAATTTAACAAAGATCTTCGCCTCCTAAAATAGTAAACCATGGATAGAGTAGCCTTAAAACACAAAATTTAGCACAAAACAATGTCTACATTTGACAGAGATCTGTAAGAAGCTTGGGGTGTAGGGTATGAAATCGGATAGGTTAGTTGTTCAAGTTTTCAAGTATAATTTGCTGATTTGGGTTACGTATCCATGAAATATACCTACCAAGGTTTTGGACGTAACTTCGTCTTTAATTTCTTGCTGATTTGGGTTAGATTCTACCTACTCTTATCGGAACTTCGTCTTGTAGTTTCAGTGTAGGGAGGTACATGGGGTATATGGTGTACGAACCTACAGAAAACGTTAAAATATAATTCGGAAGTGGAAACATTCAATTAAGGTACCTATTTGTTCAACAACATAATAATATGAATTATTGCCGGAATTTTGCGTCTCAGAAATATTTTAGGTAGGTGTTACGGTAAATTAGAACTTGTTTACCTTTAAGTTACATAAAAGTAAATTGTCTAGAACTCTAAATCATTGGTAAATAGCCAGCTTCTAGGTACCTTACTCGTTATTAAGCTTTAAGATTTGATTTTGAGAACAATGCCATCTATAGATTTGTATAGGAATTAGTTAAAAACCACTCTACAGACAGATCGTAACTCCATCTGTGAAAAGATTTGATTATTATTCGTGAAAGGGCGAATTTTCTTCCTCCTGCAAAATATGTTATTAATTCTCCTTAAAATATTTTGGAGTCATTTAACTAATGATTTATCTACACATTACTTATCAAGCTAAAGATGAAAATCATGTAGACTCTTTTATTTAATTTAGTAGCAATCAAAATATATTTTGGCAAGGGAAAATGCAGCAGACTGATTTTTCAGTCTGGCCACACAAACCAGGTCAAGGAAGTGCAGCAGAAAAACTATTCGCCAATTTTTTGTTATTTTTATGAAATGCTATTAAGTGTATTGTTTCTTTATTATTTAGTTGAAATAGGAGTGAGATAATGTAGCGCGGACATCGTAATGATTGGAGGCAGTGAGAGTGGTTGTTATAGGACAGAAGAAAACTAGGTGGTGTGACAGCTAAGGAATACCGCATAGAAGATTTTAGCTCAAAAATGGTTAATATTATAAAAATTTGATCATCTGATAACTCAGTATGACTGTTAATCGCTCAGAGGTACCGATTACGTGGGTTACCTTCGCGATTTATGTTGGAAATAATCGTCATAACATTTGACCCAGTTACAGTGCCGTGTGCGTTGACCTATAGATGTGAATGCGGACTAAAGCACGATGTTATTTTTAGGATACAGCTTTGCAGATAATTAAATATTTATAGATGCCGTTGGTGATATCCAATTGTGTGATAAATTGCAGACGCAAGTATCCGTGACCTTTTACACTGATAACTGGTGAGTTTTCTTTGTTTTACTTATTTTTTTGAATTTCGATTGTTATCGTTTTACATAAAAATTGTTACACTGATTGCGACTATTTATTCCAAATAGGTTCAAAGCTTTAGTTTACAGTGTGCCTGTTAACAGCTGTAATAAATATGTAACAAGCTTTGTTTTATGCCAGTAACACATAACATCAATTGATTTATAATGTTTTCATAATTTTATTTTCACACATGTGCTAATATTGTAGTATTGATTTTTAATTCATAAGCATAATGAGGCATATTTTGTCAAAGACAAAATATAAAACTGAGAATCAATACATTTAACCTGAATACTTTTTCAGGTCCAACAGTTGTTCAAATAAACACTATGGATGGAAGTTTTATAACTCCTGGAAAAACAAAACAAAGTACAGAAAAACAGATAACGAAAACACTATTTAGACACAACTTCCTTTGAAGGGATCAATTTAATCATAGAAATTTTATTTATAAACATATTCCAATTTCCTCTTTGATTGAATTAAAATTAATATATTGAAGAGACAGTTCCAGGTTGTGATTTCATAATAATAATACACAACTGATGCAAACAAGGGAAATAAAAACAATAAATTCTAGTAGCAAGCATATCATCTTTGTAGCTAAATTGACAGGCTGTATATTGATAACCTGTGCCCAAATATTGCCGCCAAAAATGGATTCCAAATTCAAATTTCATTAGATTTTCCTATAACAACCTACAATGGTTACCTAATATTAAATTAATAAAAAGAAGACAATATGGTGTTTATTTGACTGAATCGCAATAAGGGTGGGGTTGGGCGCTACGCCCTAAGGCCGTGGTGACACTCGGCAGTGATGAAGAAACAAAATGTTCGCACTCTATCATTGATTGTGTGCACATTTACTTATTTACTGGTTGGTGCCGCTGTGTTTGACGCTCTTGAGTCTACTACTGAGAGGAACAGATTTGAAGTATTGCAAGGTTGGTATCTCTGGTTATTATTGAAGTTTATTTATATATTTTCAAAATGTATTTTTGTTTTTCGTCATTGATGAACATTTATAACTAAATACCTACCGTATTTAGTTATAAATGTTACCTAAATAACCACTAAATTGATTTAATTTAGCATTTCAAATTGCAACTTAGTACTCTTTAGGTGAATTGTTATACATATTAAAAGCCATAATAACTAAGATTTAATAAAATTAAATTATAATACTTTATTATACTGCTATATGGTACTAAGTATATAAAATTACATAAAAAATTATATATACTTACTAATTACTAATTCCCTTCTCCGAATTCCCCTATGATAAGAAGGATCAATAATGAATTTGAATAATAATTAAAATCCAATAAGTAAGTCACCTATTAATGTGAGATTCTTATAAAACTTAATGTAATTAACTTTTAACTTAACATTATATTAATGGCTACTTACTATTAGAAGATTCACATGTTTATAACTATTAAATTTTTGTTAAAAGAACATTTTCAAAAAAAAATTGATTGGCCAAGCATGCTTTGTTAGTAGGTATTTAACGTTACCATGACAACCAATCTATTTAGTAAGCCCCAACAATAATTTTAATGTTGGCAATATGAGTAATGTGGTGTTTTAAATAATGGTATTCTAAATTCAATTTTTTTTTTTCATGACTAACAAGTCGTCACTGGCTACTAACAAAAATCCTAATCCTCTATAAACTTATTGAAATCACCTGAGCTTTTGTTTAGATTTTTGAATGATGTTTGATGCAAGAATTAGAAAAATAGTACACATACACTTGAGTGTTCCTGTAACTAATTTTTTTAACTGGCTACTTATATTTGTACATAATCTCAAGTCCAAATTATTTTAAAAGTTAGTCTCTTGTAACTTGTAGTTAAAACCCTGTGAATAATTTTTTTTTTATTAAAGTGAAATGATGCTACAGAACCTTTTTTAGGCTCTATGATTATGATACCTACCTATGGATTCTCAAGTTATTTAATAATGTAGTTATAAGTTTTACAAGACTTTATCTTGACAGATGACATAGATAGTAGATATTTATTTAAACTATCTATACTTATAAAGAGGTAAAATTTGTAAGTTTGTAGGGGTAGGTTTGTATCTTTGGAACCGCTGGTCGGATTACCAAAATTCTTTCACTGCTAGATAGCTACAATGTTCCTGAGTGCTATAGGCTATAAAACATCACGCTAAGGATAAATGCAGAGCAGCGGGTGAAACCGCGCGAGAGTAGCTAGTTTTCAGTAAATTAGGAATACCTTAAGAAAGTTACTATACAAAATATACTTACTCTTATTTTCCACCCACAGCTATCGAAGGTATGATCATCAGGAAGTACAATATAACTGAGGAAGACTTCCGTGTGATGGAGACAGTAGTGCTCAAGTCGGAGCCACACAAGGCTGGACAGCAGTGGAAGTTCACTGGAGCATTTTACTATGCTACTACTGTACTAACTACCATTGGTAAGTAATCTGTTAGTTGAATGCACGGTTGGCGCGGTGTCTGGGCAACTGGCTGCTGCGCAACGTGTCGCGGGTTCGGTTCTCGCATGTTACAACCCTTTGTAGGATCCACATATTGTTGTTCCGGGTCTGGGTGTCATGTGTATGTTTGTAAACGCTCCCAAGACACAGGAGAAAATCCTAGTCTGGGGCAAAGTTTTTTTTAAACAAAGAAAAAATTCTTTGTGGCGCCTTATCTCAAGTAACTGGGGATTGTTAATATTTGATTCCTGCTTCTTCTGTTTCTTATCATCAACAGTGTTATAAAAGTCTTCATTTCGTTTGTAAATCATAAGTCCCTTCTAATTTTGCCCCCTTCATTAAATTCAACGATGGAAGTGCAAACTATTTCATTTTATTCTTGTCCGCAAATAATACCTTCTAATTTATTTTGTTGCCAAGACATTCATTTCTGTCCTTCTGGGACGCTTACGCTTTATCTTTAAGTTTTATTTGACATTTAAAAGTGCCAATTAAAATAAATGATGCTAACTTTTGACTTTTGGGTATTGTAAATTCTGCGTTTAAAGAGTTGCAGGGGTTATAGATTGGTGTGGTGGGCTTGTCTCCTTAGAAAATTTTACATATCTATAATAACCAACTGATTTTGTTTAACCAACAGGCTATGGGCACTCAACGCCGGCGACAATTGGTGGCAAGTTGTTCACAATGTTCTACGCTATAGTTGGCATACCGCTGGGCCTCATCATGTTCCAGAGTATTGGTGAAAGGGTTAATAGACTTAGTAGGTAAGTGGCAGTAGAACGAGTCTAGAAATATAATGTAATTTTATTCTTAAGTGATAGGGCAAACGAGCAGACGGATTACCTGATGGTAAGCAATCGGCGGCGTCAGGCCAGAGGAGTTACAAGTGCGTTGCCAGCATTTGGGGATGAGAGTTTTGGAGATTTAGGGATTAAGGAAGGATTAGGGGAGGAAGGATAACTCCGGTAACCTTACTTACATGGGGAATACAGATCTGTGGTTGTTTCACAGTTGAGCCGACATTTGCCTGAGCTTGGGTCTGCCCAACTTAAAAGTTAAAAATGAATTATTTCAAAATAAGATTTGAAATCTAAAAGTTAGTGACTCAGCTGGAAACTAGGCACTTATTTTGTAGAGAAGTTACGTTAGGACGCCTCCTGTTAAGTCGTGGGTTCGGTGCTCAAGGCTTGAACAAACATTATTTTCGATGATGTGGGGCTAGAAATAGTTCAGCCGTTCTGTATAACAATGAATCTTATTCGTGTAATTTAAAACCATCATAACATTTCTATGACTGTTTCAAACGTAAATAGAAATAACTAGCTACACTCGGGCGGTTTTACCCGCTGCTCAGCTCCATTTAATCGTAGCGTGATGTTTTATAGCCTATAGCACTCGGGAACATTGTAGCTATCTATCAGAGAAATGTGAATAATTTTGGCAATCCGAGCAGCGGTTCCAAAGATTACCCCCTGCATACAAACTTACAAATTTTACCTTTTTATAATATTAGTATAGATAGATACTTAGATACCCTTTTTTGGGAAAAATCCTCTAATGGCTTCTGGGTGAACCGGGCCTTGGTACTTACATAATTGCGCTTTACCTACACCCCGGAATTATAGATAGCCTTGGTTCTAGCTGGTAGTAGCTTCTGGACTTGTGGACAGAAAGACATAGGAAACAGACATTTGAATACTTTTCCATTTTTTTCTTACCTAATCCCTACCTACAATTTTACATCTTTCCCTTTTCTACAAACCAACTAATTTAAAAACATCCTTTCTCTAAATTCCAGCGTTATAATAAAATCAATAAAGAGCGCTCTGAACTGCAAGCAGACAAATGCATCAGAAGTGGACCTGATATGTGTGGTGACCACTCTATCTTCACTAACCATAGCTGGTGGTGCGGCTGCATTCTCCAAGTTCGAAGGATGGAGCTACTTCGATAGTGTCTACTATTGTTTTATCACTTTAACTACCATTGGTAAGTTATTTTTGAAGCGTTTTTAAGGTCATGTCCCGCTGTGCACAAGTGCATGGCGAGGCTTAAGGTATGCTGTAACAGCTATTGCAGTTGTCCACTAAGAGGACTTTGTGTCTTATATTCTAGTGTGGTAAAAATTCCGCTCTCCCTAATCTGTATCCTTACAAGCTAGGCGCCTTAACAAGGTTTCCCCCATAAATAAAAAAAGAGAGGCTTTTGTCAAGTCTGTAGTGACCGAAGGCTTATCTTTTTATAAGGTCCTCATTTTCTTTTTGATGTCGTTCGTGGAGGTGGGATATAACTAATTACTTATATTATTTATTTTTTTACTGATCAAAAAAGGTACATTTTAAGTTTTACGACGACGTATAAAAATGTCCGACAAAACTGTCTGTCGGATCCATTATTTTTTGCAAATCATACCAGCTGCCTCGTGTGTCGGGAAGGTATCTGGCAGCTTTGATGATTGAAGTTGGAGATACACTTGGTTTGCGTGGCGTGTGGGGTCGCGACAGAACGCCCGGATTTCATACATTTGTCAGCATACGACACGACACAACACGTAACAATACAATATTTTTGCCCTAAGTGGCCTTTACACCTTATGGCAGAGAAAGATTTGATCAGGCCAGCTGTATAAATCTAAGTAGCAAGACACATCTTTGGCTTATAAAGACGCCACGGCGCCCTCACCTTCCGCCTAAAGCAGGTGCTTACCGGGCACGGCAGTTTTGGTAGGTTTTATCGGATCCGACGGGAGGAAACGCCCGGGTGTCGTCATTGTGAGGACCACCCGGAGAACAAAGTGGAATATAGGGTGCCTTCCTTGGGCTAAGCACCGCCGTGTCCTCAAGGAAGTGATCGGTGAAAAAAGCAAAGTACAAAGCATGGAGGCAATTAAAATTTCTTCTAAAAATTTACACTTATACCTGAAACAGAAACAAAAATTTATATAAAAACCTACTTATTTCAAACCAAACTTTTTCCTTCCAACAGGTTTCGGAGACATGGTAGCTCTTCAAAAGGACAACGCATTGAATCGGAAGCCGTCATACGTGATGTTTGCTCTGATCTTCATACTGTTCGGGCTGGCCATAGTGGCGGCCTGCCTCAACTTGTTAGTGCTTCGGTTTGTCACTATGAACACTGAGGATGAGAAGAGAGATCAGGCACAGGCTGAACAGGTATGAACTTATGGCATACGGCCATTTTTGTTTTATTGAGACCTCTATCATTCACTTCGTCGTTTATACCACGCACATCTAAGGATTGGAATAGCTTGTCTGCAGAGAGAGAGAGAGAGAGAAACTGAATAGGCTCTTAATAAACTAGTCTGCCTTACCCTGAACGATTTTATCACTGCTTACCACCAGGTGGGATTGCAGTCAAGCACTAGTTTTTATATGATGTACTGATGCAAAAAAATATTAGTTTGCTGTCATTTTTTTATGTAATAAGTCGGCAAACGAGCAGACGGATTACCTGATGGTAAGCAATCAGCGCCGCCCAAGGACACCCAACGCAACGGAGGAGTTACGAGTGCGTTTTCGACCTTTTAGAATTAGAGATTTAGGGACTGGGGAGGGATTGGGGAAGGGAAAGGATTGGGCCTCCGGTAACCTCTCTCACACGGCAAAACATAACGCTGTGGTTGTTTCACGCCGGTGTGAGTGAGACCGTGGTGTCGCTCCGGTCAAGGCGAAGCATGGCTCTCCCACACTTAAGGCGACGAATTGTTTAACAATAATTCTAAAACAAGGCGCGCGCGCGCCCCGCCCCCCGCACGCACCCCGGTAAGTTACGTATGCATTGCAACAGGCGGCGCCGCCGGCGAGCGGCGCGCGGCGGTGGCTGCGCGGAACACAGACACCTTGGAGATGTCTTATATATATTTTTTTTATGAATTTACCTAGTAAGTTTTTTATTGATTGTCTTTTCGGAAATTAACACGTGCTAGTGTTATTCAAATAACGAAACTAAGATTTTCGTGATTTGAAAAACATTAGCACATCTCTTTTTAAATTAAAATATTTTTAAGAATTATATATTTTTTATAAATAATATTTAATACGATTAAAATATCATTATTTACATTTACATAAGTATTCTAAGGCTGAAATCCTTTTTCTTGTAAGTATTAAATTATTGTGAGGGTGTGTGTGTTTATTTATTTTAACAAGGAACATAATTTATTATACATTGATCATCATCATCTTACTGCCCTTGTCCCGTTTTATTTGGGGTTGGCGCAACACGGTTTTTTATTCCAGTCTATCCTGTCACTCGTTGCACTATCACTAACTCCCTTTTCTATCATATCACTTCTCACACAATCCATCCATCTTTTCTTTGGCCTCCCTCTCCCTCTCCATCCATCCACAGGTAAATTCATAACTCTTTTAGCAACATGCTTTTAATCTCTCCTCTACATTACCATACCAAGACAAACGATTTGATTTCAACTTTTCAGTCACTGGCGCCTCTTTCAAACTTCCCCTAATATACTCATTTCTCACTTTATCCATTCTCTTCACACCACACATCCATCTTAACATTCTCATCTCCGCTACATGCAATCTTTTTTCATCCGTCTTCTTCACAGCCCAACATTCTGATCCATACAGTATGACAGACCTTATCTTACTTATAGATTTATCTTATCTTACTTATAGATTTTACCCTTCAACTTGAGGGGCATCCGTGGATCACAAGTTGTACCCGTGACCTGTCGCCATTTCATCTATATCTATCACCATTCTAAATTGATATCATCGTATATATAAAAATGAATTTACAATAAAACACATAATATCTTACACTTCCTGTGTATTATCATTATTATACAATATTTATTATCGTAATAGGAAATTATTAAAAAATTAAGAATAAAATAAATTAAAATTCGGAAAATGAAAAAACATCCTCATATTCAACGAGTGATTGTTGATTTGAATCAGCATTTTCTTTTCCCGAGCCAGTTGCTTTTTCTAATTGTTCGTTGCAAGTATCTGGGACAGAGTTTTTATTGTTATGAACAATCACGTAATCCGGATCACGAATAGGCTTGTTCCTGGTGTGCCTGGGGTCCACAAGTTCGGGAAAAAGACAGTCGTAATAGAATTTTAACAACTTTGGTTCCATGTCTTTTTTCCAGAACGCATCATCCTTTTTAATAATTTCAGTTTCTATTTTATTATTGCCATACCATACACCCAATGACGTTGACGACTCCATAGTTTCGTTCTCCGAACATTGTTCCAACGATTGTTTCCTAAAATATAACACAATATACATATTTTTTATAATGAACTAACACTTTACAGAAGATATTGTAATCTTCTTCTTATTTTTATTGCGATTGTAGCACAAAAAATAGAAAACAAAATAGGTAGGTAATGAACCTACTTAGTTACTTACATATTTTTTGTCACAAAAATAAACATCATTGAAGTCACAGTCAAAGTGACTTTGAACGTCATCTTTTTTAGTAAACTACACATTTCACAATTCATTATGAAAACTTACTTTCTTTTTCGTCATATTTGCACATTTTTCTAAAAGACATGCTCTTCTTTTTCTTTTGGAACATCTTTCTTTCTTTTTTCCCGTTTTTAACCGACTTCTTATTCAATAAAACCGCTAAATTTGATCACGCAATCGCCGATGCAGTCCGGAAGCGACTAGCACAGATCCGTCGCTGACAATGGTCAAGGGGGGACTGAGCGTGTCAGCGGGGCGAGGTTTGCATATGCGCGTTAGCTTATAACAAAACGACGTAAACGACAAAATGCTTTTTGTTATTTTATTTAGTCGGAAATGATAACTTGAGAAATTCCTTCTACAATTTTAAGGAGTATTTATAGACTTGTCTACAGAGCAAGTTGAGAGGCTAAAATCGGTCCCGTTTGCCAATAAAATGTAAATCTCTATTTAAAAAGAGGTATGTTTGATATTTTTTTCTCTGTTACAAAAGTTACTTAATCATGTAATGAAAACTAACAAAATATGGTTTTAATCATGAACTGTTCAGGTCACCAATTCATATTTTAATTCGTTTCGTAATTACTTAGAAAAATAGAGATCACTGATGCCAAAATTTCCAATTCGTCCTCTTAAAATAAAGTGTCATTGTCATAATTCTTTAGATTTAGTGCAATTAGCGGTTAAAATAATATTGTTTCACATCACAGAGGGATTTTCTAAAAAAAGGTATGCTTTGCTGGGTTTTGTTTTCGATATTTCACATCACATCACCACATCATCAGCCAATGAGCCTAGAACAAAGGCCTCTTACGACAAAGAGAAGGTTTGAGCATTAACCATCACATTTGCTCTAACCAAATTGGCGATTGCTTATCCCTCCCCAAATTTTCCTTAGTGGTGTGTACAAGCTAGTATTGTAAATTTTATATAAGTTCTATGACACTAAGTAGATCGTCAGTAGACTTACTTTTCGCTTCATCTTCGTCATCCGATGGAGGGCAGTAGTTCTTGATTACAGCTTTCACTCGTTCGTAAAGTAGTTTAGTGTCAATGTATATCTCTCGTGATATATTCGTTAGTTTTGTCAAGGTTTGAAGCCAAAATGTTGTTATGGTTTATGTGAAATTCTGTCCGAAGACTGTCAAGTGTATTTATCCGTTTGCGGACGTATTCTTCAGTTTTTCTGGTCGGAGGATCCTTGTTGAAGTTTTTATGGCTTTTCTTGATGCTCTCAGTAAATTCCCACTGGCGGGATATGAGTTCCATTGTCATTGTCATGTACTATTTAATAAAGCACGAATTGCTTCACTAGTAGTTACTGTCAGATGCCTGTTCTTGTACTGGTTTTCCAGAGGCTGGTGTTCGGTCAGGAATCTTGTGTTCTTTGCACGAACGTTAAGTTAGTGAGACCCGCTGGTGGGAGGCCACTTAAGCCGATGCGCTATTCGTGCGTAAGAAACACAGGATCTTTGATCCGGCTCGAAGGACCAAATGAACGAGCTGCTAGCACTCGTTCAGCAGACTTGTCAGATGGCAGGTAGATCGGCGGGCGGTTTGGGATTATAGTCAAGGAAACTCGAATAATTGTCAGGCCAACCGATGCTACGGAGCGTCTTTATTACATTATTACATTATTATAATTAAAACTAGGTCTAATCATGTGTTCAGTGACGTCAAAGAACTCAAATAAAATGTACAATAATAGCTTGTACATGGTGTCTAAATAAAGTTTAAAAGTACATATAATAACTTCGGTACTTACTAGGTTGATCTCATACTCATGAGAAACGAAAGCCTACCTACTACTACTACCACGACCTCATAATACTTAAAACATAATTATCTCAAATATCTACATTGGAATTCCTTCAGGCGCAGCAAGTAGCAGTGAGATTGGAAGGAGACGTGATCACGGCGGATGGAGCCGTGTTAAGAGGAGTGTCGCGCGGCACCCGCCTACCTGCTGACCCCAGGCAGATTACTGCTGGTTTGTAGATCCTCTGTTCTTTATTTGCTAGTTTCAGAACTGATGGTAAGCATAGATCGTGGTCTCTTGCGACCATGACCTGTGCAACCAGGTCGAAACATCAAGCCTACCAAGGTATGGTTACGGGTTAAGCGCAATGAGTCTCCGCGGCCTCTGCCTAGAGCAGGAGAAAGAACGGGGTGGATTTTAGTCAGTAAGAGTCTGACACTCTCTCTCGCCTTACCCTGGGTGGGAGAAGTAATTTGATAATTTATCCCTGACAAAAAAAACAAGCCTACCAAGGTATATGAGTAATTGTTTTTCGCGTTAATACCCGCGTAATTATATGTTAAATACACGAAACGCTAAAGTTTAAAAGTTAGTGATGGTAAGCAATCAACACCGCCCATGGAAGTTCATGTGGATCACTTGAAAGAGAGAGAATTAATATTTAATATTCTTATCCAGATATCCCTAAAATGCTATGTATGACATTTATGATAAAATAAAATATTTATAATAATTAATCAAAAACTAATTCACATAGAATATGTGATGGTGATACTTCAATTATTTAGAGGTGGTTAAGTGATGATTAAAATAAATAGGTCTTTACCTATGAAATTGCCGTTTTGCATGAAAAAATTTAAACGAATTTTTTGATCTGAAATGCGATGAAAATATAACACTAATCATTAAACAAATGACTACTTTTGGAAAAAGAATCCCATGTTTTTAAAACAAAATTAATTAGCCTTAGCCTAACAAAAACTATTTTGATTTGAAATGGCCAGTACTGCAAAACGGCAATTTCATAGGTAAAGACCTATTAATTAATACCCATGTATCATCTATGGTTGTAATAAATATGCGCTTTGTGTAGTAAAACAGCATGTTTCATTGCTCTGATCAACGAACATTTTGAATTGTTGGATTTTTAACTAGGTAAATTCTAAATCTAATTTCTCAATTTTCTCATGTACAAAATAAAGGCAAATTAGTAACAAGGAATTTATTTTTGTAAATAAGCCAAAAACAACATATAACTAAAATCTAGATGAGCTTGGCATTTCCCATCTGACTTCTCTTAGAACAATATTACATTCTGTTTAATTAGTGTCCTGAATTTATAAATCTGTTGTTCCTTCCAGGAGATACCTCGCTAGTGCCGCTGTATGTAGATGAAGAGTACGCGCCCAGCGTCTGCAGCTGTTCCTGTAATTGCTTCGGACCAAACAAGTGAGTCAACTTTAGATATCGTTAACATTATTTTTAAATCTTTGCAAGTGTGTGTAATAATTTAACAATGTAATTTATTCCAGATCAATACCATATCGCGACCCGCTATCGCCGGTACCACCTACCCACATCCGACAGATAAAATCAAAGAACTACCGTGAACTCGGTAGTATACCGCGCTACATAGAAAAATCATCATCAAAGAACCGATCGCAGTCTTTACGACTCAACTCAGCTTCAGGCTACTTATACATGAACGCAAAGACCAATGACTTCCAACTAGAACCCGAGGATTTCAGAGAAATGGTCACCAAAAGACGAGAACAGCTCCGGAGGGGCATGATGATGTATGAAATGAGGTGTAATAACAACGAACAGTACCTACATCCCTACAGACACAGTCTTAGCACTCGGCTAGAGACCAGCCCTCACAGTTCCTCGCTCTACTCCATGAACATGAGGTCAGAGAACCGCAGCAACGACCCTCTAGTTGACGACTACGACTCTGAAAAATCAAGCTACGCGAAAAAGAAACTCATGAAGAACATAGCTAGGAACACTAGTAACAAACGAGTAGAAAACTACTTCTATGACGATGCCGTACTGCATTTCGATGACGAATACGCCTTCGACGGCTCAATACTCTTCGCCAAGAGAAGAAAATCTATAGACAGGAACTGGGAGGACTATACATGTGAAATGCCGCGAACCCATGGACCCGATCAAGTGTCAAACGATGGTAGCTACGGGTACTACCTGCCCGACGACGAGGAGCAAGACCAGTACTTCGTGAACGATACCCTCACGTTCCAACTGCCCCCCCATCGGGCCAGCATATAGTGAAGTGTTGTGATGTGCCAACAAGACTAGTGCCAAGGTAGGTTAGTGTTAGTCTACTAAATAAATGGGCCAATTAAGTAAATAAACGATTAATTAATAGTAATTTTACAATTTTCGCGGTAGCATCCGAGTTTGACAGTTTTAGCTTTTACACATAGTCTATAGATGTCGCGTTTTTTATTATAATTCTATGATATGAGCTTGGCTTCCTTGTAGATATTGTAATATAGTAACATAGGCTTGTCGTGCGGAGCGCTTGGGCGTTTTATTGTGCACTACGTCGGTGGTAACTTATTTGGGAATATTCGGATTCTGAACCCAGAATCGGGGCAGTATATTTGGAATGTTTGTAGAATCTCCTATATCATAAGAATAGGACAGAGTTTCTCAAAATGATTGCGTAGAGAACCCGCAAAATCCAATCAGCAATTTTAATTTTAACCCATGTTGGGAAACGCTGTCCTATAAAATAGTAATGTTCATTCCCTTGTCAGTATAATAAAACAAGACTGCAATAGAGATGAATGTTTGAATAACTGACCAATCACGTAACTTTGGTAAATGATGTAAGTGATAAATTAATCAGTATTATTATATACTATTAGATAACTATGACTTTGGAACGTTCGAATGGCGGACATTGTCGAAATTTTACCTCTTCATAGTGTATTTCATTTATACAACCATCAATTTAGATTTTCTTGTAAAATGTAGATGTTATGAACTGTCAAAGATTAGTTTAGACTACAGGCGTAATGAGGCCTCCCCCATTACTTAGAAAAACTTAGTATATAAGACATAAAAACATCTATCCTGTGGTCTAGCCATCTTTTTCGGTCTATTATAGAATATATAACATTGAAAAACCGACGTAGTGCAAGCGAAATTAATGTTTTATTTCATTTTCGGAGTGAATTAGAAGTATTAATGTTGCGAGATACAATACAATGAAATTTATCGAGCTTATTGATACAAACTCGCTACAGATCCAGTGGATTTAATTAATAGGCTGAAATATATGTCCTATTTTGGCAAAATAATCTCTAAAACAATTACATCAAAGTTCATTATTTATAAAGAATTTTAAACCCATCAACTGTTAGATCTGTGCAGTATTAAACAAACTAACATCGTCTTATTTCTGTAGCAATTGAAGGGCTCGCTCGACTTGTTTTAAGGTACACGGAGTTCGTTTTCATCAGTAACATGCGTTGTACTCTTTGCGCATTGAATTTTTTTTTGCGCTAATTCATTTTTTAAGGATGTTTGCTTTGTATTTACTTGCGTAAATATGGCTATAATCGGAACTCTTAACTGATATTTATGAGACTAAAACTTTATTACAGTAATGTGTAATACTGAAGGTCCAATTTTATTTCCAAGATGGGACATGTTTCAGCCATTCATTAACATTAGCATATTTTTTTGCAACCATGCTCACAGACCACATTTTATGACAGAATGGTCCCAAAACGCTATAGATGCGTATTATAAAATATATTACATATTCTAGTCAAATGTTTAATTTTAGTGATTTTTTCCATGACGATTCCCAGTCATCAATTTATTATATAAAAAAATATTTATTAAAATAAAATATGAAATTCCGAATTTCTATTTCGCGCCAAATATTTTTAATTATGTATTTTTAAATATATATTCCAATAATTGTATGTATATGTATATTCCAGAAATTTATTATCTATGCTGTTAAGTCGCTATGAGCCAAAAATATTGATTTTAAAAATGAGGTTTTTAATCTTTTTAAAAGACAAAAATTTATAAATGAAATTGTAATGCCAAAAATATTTATTCCATTATTTAACAAACGGAGAAATGTTTTTTATTCGAAATTAATATACCTAATCTTAAAGATTCAGTTATTAGTTATCAATTTAGCGAAATTTTATCTAAAATCTATGGTTTTAAAAATCATTAAAATTGTTGTTTAATTTATCACAAAGTGAGAAGGCGTCGTTATGAAGATGTTATTATGATTTCGTCATAATAAAAAAGTATGTTTCAAAGTTTTTGAAGAATTTAAAACACAAAAAAACTTACAAACAGTTTAACTGGGTGAAAATAATATTTTAGTAACATATGGATGTTACATTATTACAATATGTGCACTTCATCAATATAAAAATACTAAGTGCGAATGCTACTTACGTTTGTAATATTTAAAATTGAGTTCTAAACCATATTAACAATGTAATATTATTTATATGTTTGTATGTGTTAATATTTTTTAAGTAAAAATACTCCGAAATGTAACAGTATTAAACAGCTCGCACGTGGCAAAAAGCCATTGTTTTAAATTTACTTAAAATTAATAATAATGAACTGAAATTAAAGTGAGTTATATAAAAATGTAAAATATTCTTGTGAACTGTATGTTAAGCGTCTAGTCAAACTAATTTATAATAGTTATACTAATATTAATTTTATAGTTTTACTCTCATATGATTAGATTGAATGCGAGGTGTCGGCAATATAATTAAAAAACTATAATACTTTAATTAAGATTTTTGTCTTTATAAGTCTTTATTGTCTTAATTTATATTCTTACTAATGGCACCAGCCACTTATAATGACACATAATTAGCGAAAAACAACGCTTTATCCTAAACAAATATTTACTTTATTTATTTCAATACATTTGGCATGTCGAAAATGAGGACGTCTATAGCATCTTTATGAAAGTTTTGGAATATGAAATAATTAATATTAAATTCTTATGACACGCTTTCATATTATGTCCCCAATAGCGAAAAAAGTATCAAGTGTTTATGGAGTCCACCAAGGTTCTATCAGCCACATTCCATTTACGTCATCAGATCAGCTCAATAGTATGGTAAAATTGTATGGTCACATAACCTACATTTATTATTGCCAAGTTTTATGATTATACAGCAATAAAATTATTAGAAGTGTGCTTATTCCAGACACTTAGAATTTATTAGAAGGTATTAATTAAATATTATTTTAAAACCAATATCGATTTGGTTTTACACAAAGAAACAGTACATGTGTTGACTAAGTAGAAATTTGAATAATTAATAATCAATAAAAATGTGGAGTCATTATTAATTGCCAATATTTCGTATTCAATCTATATGATAAAACTTATCACGAACCTAACTGTTCTATTAAAACCATTATTGATTTGTATAAGATTTTTCATCAAAGTCAAAGCCAAATATTTTTTTCAATATAATGGCACCCTATATTATGCAAGAAAAAATTTGAAAGGCAGTTCAAGAATAGAAAGAAGAGACCGTCTTTCTAAAACTATCTGCTTATTCCAAAGTGTAGAGATTCGTAGAGAAGAATGAGAAAGAATATCTATATTATGTTTCTTAGTTCTATCACCCCTTTGAACAGATAAGTTGGTGAAACGATATCCTGTGTGAATGATTATTGAGTGGTTTTTTAATCGACTGATTATTTATATTTTATTTATTTAAGCTTACTCTTAGATGCCAAAGAACCTTTTTGTTAAAAACCTTTTTAACTAGTTCTAGTAAACATCAGTATTTTATTTGCTGTGATAATTTCGTCTCTAGTATTATTATTATTAAATCTTAATAATTAAATTATTGTCTTCAAAAGATGGAACAGTATTATTTTAAAAGACAAAAAAGTATAAAAGAGAAGTTTTAATTAAACTTAATCATCTATTAAAGTGTTTAGGTCGTTCCAAACGAATTGTTTCGAAATAAAATGATGTCATTATGTGTTAAAAATCATTAAAATCACTGAAATAAATATGTATATAGTAAAAATAATTATGTCGACTTGTTTTAGATTTTAAGCGAAACTATCTATGATATTAAATAACATGACTGTGCTAAATTTAATGCCAAACGTACTCGAAACATTGGGGTTAATTTTAGTTCCGATTTCAAGTTTTCACATCTGTGGAGGCGCTAGTGTTGAATTAGGTCTCGTTATTACATTACTATTTGTCATTGGTTAAAAGCTTTGAAGGATTTGGTGATTGTACTTATAGGATCTAGTTTACTAGCGCCAACAGATAGCGTTTTTTTTTTAATTCATAATATTTTTATATTTTTATTCGGAAATGTCCACGTTTCTCGATGTTTTATGTTTATACCTTTTTAGTAACTTATTTTTCCATATAAGCTTTAAATTGTATTTTTTTATAATATTTATTATTTACTGTTTTTTTTTCACCAAAACGACTGATTAGTCACCTTTATTTTCAACTTTATGTTCAAATTGAATATTTAAAAATATTGTATTGTGAAGTTTACTAAAAAGTTGTGAAGGTATTTTTAACGTTAATTTCAAATTAATTTACCGACCTGTCTTTATGAAAATAAAAATTTTGAAGCCCAGAATTATTCTTTGCTTTGCAAGAACTGATATATTAATTTCATTTTAATTTACATAAAATATGATACGCCGAAATTGTTATCTATACCGAAAAATGTTTCATGTGCGGTTGTTTGTAAACTATAATTATAAACTAATGTATTATATAAAATGTTAAAATGGGATAAGTGAGGAGTTCTAGTTATTACGCGGTCTGAACTAACTGTAATTTTAAAAAGGTGAAAAATTGTAACATAAAATCGGATTTCAATAAAAAATACATACGAATTATTGTTGTTTTTCTTTTATTTTGTTCATAGAATAGATTATAAGTCCCTAAAAACTTTAATGCATCGGTAAATTAAAAAAATGTCCCTAGACAAAAGTCTTAGTTTTTTTAAGTATGGGACAGCCAAACTTTGACACGAATAGGCCGGCTCGACCGCAGTGAAACTATGACGTCACTGAAAACTAGCTTGCACCCTTTACTCAAACAAAATTTATGTCAGGGGAAAATCATCAAATAGCGTTTTCCGCCCAGCGTGAGGTGAGAGGGAGTGTCGGACTTCAACTGCCTAAAACCTTCTTTTCTTTGTTCCTTCTTCTCTAGGCCAAGGCCGCGGTGCCTCATTGCGCTTGTCCCGCAACCCCGGCTGAACATCAACCTTATAGGACCTCATCTGTGGTGGTCTATTGACTCTGAGGCGCGCGGAACGCTACGCGCCGCATGCTCAGTGTGAAGTAACACTTGCGTTGTGTTTCATGCGTATGTCACCGGAGTCCTAAACCTGCCCTACCCCTATTTCCGACTCCTCAAATCCATATGCCCAAAATGATGAAATTATATTTGTAGGTGTAGAACACTGCCATCTATGTCAAATATCTAGCAACTGCAGGAATATAACTCTCCCTTCTCGTTGGAACGTTATCCTAGAGAACACTTAATACATGGCGCAGGGGTTACGTTTACAATAGGCCCTGCGCTCCATAGTTCGTTTGGTGACCGCTAGATGGCTTCGTGCTTGACTGCGTCGTGGGTCGAGTGGTCACATGTTTTGCTGTTTCTCGGTCTCAGTTTTTATGCCCAGGTTGGGCAGGTTACCTATTAGGGGCTATTTTCGAAATTTAAATCATTTTGCCGCCTTTTTTTAATAGAAAATCATCAGATTACTTTCCATTTAAAATTCTTGTGCATGAGTGTGTGGGTTCGAAACCTCGCAAGTACCAATATGACTTTTTCCAAGTTATAATTTAAGTAACTGTCTATGACTATTTAGACACCACTGACATCCGGTGAAGGAAAACATCACGAGGAAACCTGGGAATTTCTTAATGTAAGTTTGAAATCGCCAATCCGCCTTGAGCAAGCGTAGTGATTAATGCTCAAACCTTCTCCGCGTGAGAAGAACCCTTTGCTAAGCAGTGGTTTTTGCTATGTAGTACCCATGTATGGAATGGACGATAAGACCTTAGGTATAAATGGTGATCTTTGGTTTGATGATACCTGCAGTATGTTGTGTTGCCCCAGTGGCAGTTAGCGTGACTGTCCAGCAAAGAGGTCCCCACAACTACCTCCATGAACCATGACTTTGCATTGAAAGGGTATTAGTACTTCAATGCGATGCCTCGCTTTAATATACCTAAGTAGATGAGTTCTTAAGTTTAAATAAAAAACAACATTTAACAAATCATTACATTATATTTTTTTTATGTAATAGGTCGGCAAACGAGCAGACGGATTACCTGATGGTAAGCAATCAGCGCCGCTCATGGACACCCGCAACAGAGAAGTAACAAGTGCGTTGCCGACCTTTTAGGAATTAGGGATTGGGCCTCCGGTGACCTCACTCACACGGCGAAACACAACGCTGTGGTTGTTTCACACCGGTTTTCTGTGAGGCCGTGGTATCGTTCCGGTCGAGCCGACCCAGTCGTGCCGAAGCATTTTTTTTTTGTGAGGGGAAAATCATTAAATGCCTTCTCCCGCCCAGGGCGGGAGGAGTGTCAGACTTTTACTGACTGAAAACCCTGTTCCTTCTCCTGCTCTGGGCCGAGGTCGCGGTGCCTCATTGCGCTTACCAGAAACATGGCTCTCCCACACTTATATCTACTAGCACTGCACAAAAAGAATCAAATCCGCCAAACTTTTAATTAAAAAACACATTTCACAAAACAACCATTTATTCAACTACCTAGGTACCTACCTACAAAAAATAAAGAAACCTAGCTGAAATAAATTTCGAAAA